TTAGTCCGGGCTTCAGCTGTTAGGTAATTAGTCAGGGGTTTAGCTGTTAGATCATTTAGTCAGGGCTTCAGCTGTTAGGTAATTAGTCAGTGCTTCAGCTGTTAGGTAATTTCGACCTAGAATTCTAATCCGGGCTTCAGCTGTTATGTAATTTCTACCCCAAATTATAGTCAGGGCGTCAGGTGTTAAAGTTGTGGGATCGCACAACGTTACACGATGTGCGGTGTGCGCACGATGTGTGCACGGTGTGTGAACAATGTGTGCACGAAGTGCGAGCGATAAAAAAATAGGACGATCATTGCTTGCGCACATTTGTGCGGACGTTTGACGAACGTTGTGCGATAACAATCATGGTTGGTGTAAATTGAAGAATGGTTAAACAATATATACGGTTTCGTGTTTAAACATATAAGCTTGATTTTCTACCATGTTTCTACATTCAAGCTACATCTGTAATCTTATCTTTCTGTCTATACTTTCTTAAATTTAGAAATGGTGATTTCGTTTTCTTTTTAAACGACCTTAATCAACACCACACAGTCTCGGCAACACAGGGACACATAACCACTTTGTACCTGGAACGTAGTTTTCCCCCGCCCGGGCACTTACATAACTCGCCAAGGTATGAAAACCAGGTGAAGGGGAGCTATAGACCAAAACAAATGCAAATAACAAATATTAAACGTCCAGTTTTGTTTTCATAACGGTCATACGGTATCACATATCACTCAGCTCTATGCGTCAGGCAAAAGCTAGGTTAATCTCTGGTAACTCATCAAATTGTTATTAACCTGTTCTGTTACCGAGGAACGTTAACCAAACCCATTCTTGACAGTTTAACGGTCACTGTATACTGTGTTACACACATTGTAAAATTGTACATAATCTTAATTATAGAGATAAGAGAATTACTGTAATATATATAGTGTACATTATTGCATACGAGCCTTCCGTATTTTTTTCATTCCGTATTATTGATCAACAAGATGTATCAAATCGCACAGTTGTGCGGAGAGAAGCGCACAACTGGGCGAACGATTGTTAAATCGCACAGATGTGTGGACGGTGTGTGAACGATGTATGCACGGTGTGAGCACGGTATTTTTGGTGCGTTGTGCGGTCCCACAGCTGTAGGTAATTTCTACCCCAAATTATAGTCAGGGCTTCAGCTGTTATGTAATTTCTACCCCAAATTATAGTCAGGGCTTCAGCTGTTATGTACTTTCTACCTAGATTTCTAGTCAGGGCTACATCTGTTATGTAATTTCTACTCCAAATTATAGTAAGGGCTTCAGTTGTTATGTAATTTCTACCCCAAATTATAGTCAGGGCTTCAGCTGTTATGTAATTTCTACCCCAAATTATAGGCAGGGCTTTAGCTGTTAGGTACTTTCTACCTAGATTTCTAAACAGGGCTACATCTGTTATGTAATTTCTACCCCAAATTATAGTCAGGGCTTCAGCTGTTATGTAATTTCTACCCCAAATTATAGCCAGGGCTTCAGCTGTTTATGTAATTTCTAACCAAAATTATAGTCAGGGCTACATCTGTTATGTAATTTAGTCAGGGCTTAAGCTGTGATGTAATTTCTACCCAGAATTATAGTCAGGGCTTCAGCTGTTATGTAATTTCTATCCAGAGTCGAAATATTAGTCGTATTTAGTATAAATACTCGACCAGAGAAGAATCAATATATATATGTAATGTATCACCTACTACCCTATATGTAATGTATCACCTACTACCCTATACGTAATGTATCACCCACTACCCTATACGTAATGTATCACCTACTACCCTATATGTAATGTATCACCTACTACCCTATATGTAATGTATCACCTACTACCCTTTACGTAATGTATCACCTACTACCCTATATGTAATGTATCACCTTCTACCCTATACGTAATGTACCACCTACTACCCTATATGCAATGTATCACCTACTACCCTATACGTAATGTATCCCCTACTACCCTATATGTAATGTATCACCTACTACCCTATATGTAATGTATCACCTCCTACCCTATACGTAATGTATCCTCTACTACCCTATATGTAATGTACCACCTACTACCCTATATGCAATGTATCACCTACTACCCTACATGTAATGTATCACCTACTACACTATACGTAATGTATCCCCTACTACCCTATACGTAATGTCTCACCTACTACCCTATACGTAATGTATCCTCTACTACCCTATATGTAATGTATCAAATACTACCCTATATGTAATGTATCAAATACTACCCTATATGTAATGTATCAAATACTACCCTATATGTAATGTATCACAGAAATAAATGATGATATGTGTTATAATGTTATTAGAGAAAGACTTATTGATATATATAGACAAGAATGCAAAGAAAACGTAAGAACATCTTCAAAGGGATATATCTATACATATCTTTATAACCAGTTTGATTTACAGTGTTACTTAAGAAATAATGTATCACCTACTACCCTATACCTAATGTATCACCTACTACCCTTTACGTAATGTATCACCTACTACCTTATATGTAATGCATCACCTACTACCCTATATGTAATGCATCACCTTCTACCCTATACGTAATGTATCCCCTACTACCCTATACGTAATGTACCACTTACTACCCTATATGCAATGTATCACCTACTACACTATACGTAATGTATCCCCTACTACCCTATATGTAATGCATCACCTTCTACCCTATACGTAATGTACCACCTACTACCCTATATGCAATGTATCACCTACTACCCTATACGTAATGTATCCTCTACTACCCTATATGTAATGTGTCACCTACTACCCTATATGTAATGTATCACTTACTACCCGATATGTAATGTATCACCTACTCCCCTATATGTAATGTATCACCTTCTACCCTATACGTAATGTACCACCTACTACCCTATATGTAATCTATCACATACTACCCTATATGTAATGTATCAAATACTACCCTATATGTAATGTATCACCTTCTACCCTACACGTAATGTACCCCCTACTACCCTATATGTAATGTATCACAGAAATAAATGATGATATGTGTTATAATGTTATTAGAGAAAGACTTATTGATACATATAGACAAGAATGCAAAGAAAACGTAAGAACATCTTCAAAGGGATATATCTATACATATCTTTATAACCAGTTTGATTTACAGTGTTACTTAAGAAAAACATTATCTAGAGAATATTTGAAAGAGATTACAAAAATTAGGTTATCTGCTCATAATCTAAATATAGAAAAAGGTAGATATCAAAATATTGAGCGTAGTCTTAGAGTGTGTACTGTATGTAATTTAAATGACGTTGAAGATGAGTTTCATTTTATGTTGAAATGTTCATGTTATTCGGATTTGCGTGTTAAATTTTTGAAAAAGTACTATGTAAAAAAACCAAGCATGTTTAAAATGATAAATCTATTTAATGTAAATAACACAAAAGAACTTGTCAATTTGGCCAAATATAAACCGATGGGTCAAACGACCCAAGGTTATAAAGAACTTCAACTTGAACAACTGTCCGATAAATTGAGCACTTATAAGACAGGTTGGTAACTTAAATTTCGAACATAAATATAAAATTATTGAATATTGCAACGTTTCACACACCATATTGGACAGTTAGTCAAACTTATTGGACAGTTCATGCAACTTATTGGACACTTGTGACATCATCGCTATGTTTTAAATGTATTCATATACATGTATGTACAAGGTGTTTTTAATATTAAAGTCACGAGGTATGGAACACAACATAGCAACTTGTCCATAGCAACTTGTCATTGTGTACATTGCTGTCAATTTTGTTAATTTTCTACTTCAAAGTGGCAATACATATATTTAAATATATGCAAAATTCGTTTTTTTAGCATCAAAAGAACGCAAATGTTGTATCACAGGCCTATAAGAAATTGATTTGAAAACACAAGTTTATTATTAGCATTTATACGTCATTTTGTTAAGTTACTCATGATGACGTCACTCAACTTGGGGTTATGTAAGAAGGTTATTTCATCTTTAATATTATTTAAGCTTCTTCGTGTTATATCGTAAAACCTGCGAATCGAAGACAACACAAAAACTGATGACGTTGTACACCCATAGACGATACGTACAAAGCAATGTTAGGCTCGGTATTCGTAACTTTAGCTCATAACTGGTTGAAGGTGCTCGGTGATGAAATTACTGATCAATGTTGTGTTTCGTGCAAAATCATTTTTATCAGAAATAAACAAATTTTCATTTGTGTTGCCCTAAAAACCTACTACCCTATATGTAATGTATCACCTACTACCCTATATGTAATGTATCACCTACTACCCTATACGTTCCTTTGGTGTCCCAGGTTTCTGGTAATGGTACCACCAGGAAGACTATATGAAAAAGATTCCTCCTTTCTTTCGTTTACACTCGCAAAAACTGGGAATCCAAATATAATGCGTTGTTTTTCATGTGTAAAACAGTTGTCGAAAACTACAAACGTATACAGTTCTGCTGCAAGTCCCTATATTAACACAAATATATGACTAATAAAACGCTGTTAGATCAGTGTACTTCGGTCACGTTTTATCCTACATAGCATAACGTAAAACTATCGATGTTTCAAGAAGTCGTTAACACTACCGATACAGTAACCTCAATACCACAAATAGTAGGAAATGTATATATATTTAAATCACACATACACGGGTTTATCAACATTTATTCTGATATGAACACAAATCGGTTGCATCCATTTTTGATATGAAGCCTTAGCCGACTTTTATTCAATATAAATGTAGCCCACTTGCGTTGATAGCGGCGGAAATGTTAATAGGAACTTGGAAATGGATATTTGTGTGAGATATTTTTAGAGCTCTAGTTACGTTTAAGTCTTCATTCTAAAAACAAAAGTGTTTCACTAACATGATTATTGTCAGTATATACAGAAAGAAGATGTACATGAAGTTATATTTTCGTCACATTCTTTGTAGATAAGCTGAAAGTGTTAAAGGCCTGGGACGAACCATACGCCGACGCTACGACTGGGGACACCGCCTACAGTCGCCTTCACACGGAAGGGCGAGCTGTGGTAGTCCAACTGGTCTCGTCCAACACGGCGAGTAACATGGAGGAGCTCAGTCACTTCGCCATCTGTGCCGGAGCTGACTTCATATCACACAAAGGTATGCTTCTAAACATTTTCTTCAGGTTGGTACGTATGGATTGTTAACAGATTCGTGTAGCACAACCAAAATGTGTTCATATGTGACGTTTCGGTGACTAGCACGGTACGTACTCTGTCACTTTCATCAGACAAAAAACCAGTGAAGCGTATCTACATAAAGGTGTAAAATATACTATTTTATTTTATTTTTCCAAACGTTTACAACTTATAGGTACAGGATATTACTACAACCATACATATTCAATACATGTTACTAGGGCGGCAGTTTGTATGTGTAAACAAATAAGTGGCATGTATTTTAAATGAATGATGTACTAGTTATAAAATAAGTAACATGCATTTGAATGAATGTACATCATCAGTGATATACTAGTTAAAGAAAAAATAATAAAAGTAAGGTATTGAAGGAGAACGCATTGTTGTTGGTTCATACATTTAAATTTGTTTTCAGATTATCTCTCAACAACAATTATCTGTGCAGCAACTTTCAAAATTTGCACAATTCAGATATATTGCTAGAGTTCAAAAGACTGATGAATTTAAACATGCTGGGTTTCAACCAATAATATTTTTTCATGTGAATATGTCTTTGTATCTGAAAAGATGGACACTTAAGCACAAAGTGGTATTCGTCCTCAATATCTAAATTGCATAATTTACAGATTCTTAGGTTCCTTGGTACATTTCTATATCTACCTTGCTAAATTTCTAACTGGTGACTGGACATTCTGAGTTTCGTAATGACTTTTCTGTACTTGAATTGGATAGGTTTCCCGAGATAAATTTTCATATCAAAACTTTGTGCATATATTAGGTGTCTATACATACTACATTTGGTCGATTCAGCTATATGACTCCTTATTTCTTGTACACAACAATCAAAAGTCTTTGTTTAATAATATCCAAAGCACTTTTTACATTTATTGTCACCTGGGTGTCCCAGTTATAACCCAGTCCCATAGTATACAGTTCATTTCTAATATCTCTCAACCAGTTATATTTATCACTAACATTTAACCTTTCCATAAGATCATTATATATTTCAGTCATAATACAATTCTGACTATGTACTAATTTCAACCAAAATTTGAACACTCTCTGCTTTCTTATTGTAATCAGAGGATATACTCCTAATTCCTCATAGATCATGTTATTAGCTGTACTTCGCTTCACCCCTAACACTTGCTTTAAAAAATGCAATTGTATTTTTTCAATATCCTTGGCACAATAAAATCCCCAGATCTCGCTTGCATAATTGAGAATTGGGCTCACATAAGTTCTGAATAATGATAACATAGTTTGTACATTAAAATCAAACTTCCGTGTCTTTGAGTTTAGTGCAAACATTGCTTTTCGACCTTGCTCAGACAGCTTATGCTGCGTCTTAGTAAATTTTCCGTTATAGTTTGATAATAATCCTAGATAATTAAATTCGTCAACATCTTCTATATTTTCACCATCATATAATCAATGCTCATTATCTCGAGCCTTCCCAGTCTTTCGAAAAACAACAATTTTAGTTTTCTGAGTATTAACAGTTAGCTTCCATTTTTCAGAGAACAATAGTAATGTGTCAAGTGACTTTTGAAGTCCCTCCACTGATTCTGATATCAGCGCCATGTCATCGGCATACATAAGTAGAAAAAAGGCTTAAAGTTTTTAACTCGTATGGCATGTTACCTTCTTGTATAAACTCCATCTCACAATCGTTCACATATATTGAAAACATTATTGGTGATAAACATTCACCTTGAATTAATCCAATCTCATTAGTGAAAAATTCAGAATAAAATCCATCTAACTTGACACATGATTTTGCACATTTATACATTGAAAAAATAATTGATAACAGATTACCTCTAATGCCACATTTTGACAGTTTGAGCCATAAATTAGATCGATTTACAGTATCGAAAGCTTTCTTGTAGTCGACGAAGCAGCAATATAATCTTTTATTTTGTGAGAATGTCTTATTAATTAAAGAATGTAAAGCAAAAATTGCGTCTGTAGTTCCATAACCAGATCTAAATCCAAATTATGCATCAGAAATAATTTCATTTGTGTTAGCCCATGAAAGCAATCGATTGTTCACTGTACCAGTAAATGGTTTCCCAAGACAGTTTAATAGACTTATACCCCGATAGTTATTGAGGTCATTTTTATCACCTTTTTTAAATAAAGGCACGATATCACCCGTATGCAGTCCTCATTTTGTTCCTTATTGATCCCATAAAACAACAGGTTTTCTCTCATTGACCTGCACTGTGGGTCTGTGACGCACGCTTTCAGCGACGAGTCCATTTCACTAATGGCGGCGCGCACCTCTCGTCCATCTGGAATGTCGGAGTTCTCGATTCTTTCTACCCTAGACGTTAAATCTTTAATTTCCTCCCTCATCCCCTGAAATATTTCTCCACATAACCTTCTATCCGCGTAAATCTTGCAAGTTAGTTCTGTCGCCCATGGTGGGACACTGTTCATACCGGCGGGGCCCGGTCCAGGCAACCCAGTGAACCCTTGCACGAGATGTGGCATAGGGACCTGTGAAAATATGGGCGAGGCCGACCCCATGAATCCAGGGAACATGAATGGTGCCGGGGTGGGGGTATATTTTGTTGCGGGGAAGGTGTAGATAAATATGTATTAATAGAGGAGTCTGTCTCTGAAAATATCTGACTGTCCTGACCGTCCGCCATATTGTCGCACTGTGTTGAACAGTCGACGGGTGTGTCCCTATTTTCAATTTTCTCTTCAACATACTTCTTGCCATCATCCATATTCAATCTTCTCCTTATTCTCTTTGGGTTACTAGCCTTTCTCAACCTATTCTTTCTCCCCTTGGACTTCATTGGTGTAGTTTAGACCATGTACAATATATTTAAGCCACGATGTCGAAAAGTCCTGCCGCCCTGGCAGGCGCACCCCTGACGTTCACAGCGTAAACGAATCGAGATCGATTAGTGGACAACTCGTACATATTTTACACCTTTGTGTATATACGCTTCACTTGTCATTTGTCTGATGAAGGTGACAGAGTACATACCATATTTGTCATCAAAAGTCACATATAAACATCTTTTGGTTGTGCTACATGAATCTTTGCACAAAATACCAAGGTATTATGCACTTAAACTAAACAGTTCCTGTTGAAGATTTAACAAAAAACTTTAAAATATTGAAGTATTTAATCTCAATTAACTGGCATTGATGACACTATGATTAGCTTACTGTTTAAGGTGATAAATTGGAGATAGCTGTCAAGAAGATGAGCGGGACGACAGCGAAGAGCGTCGCTTTCCAGCTGGCTACCTTCATCGCCGTTGATCCTCCAACCGCCATGATAGCTGACTATGACTTCCCAGCGGAGTTCACAGAGGTGGACAAAGAAAATTACCCGCTATTTTATGGAAAAGGACGGGTAAAGCTTTATTTCCCTAAATCTAAAAATGTGTGAATATTATTGGATGATATACTCCAAGTTTAGTGATGACTGCATTTAAAATATTCGATGTTAACATCTGTGAACGATACAGGATATAAGATTTTTACTGCAAAGTGTCAAATGACATGTTATTAGTCGCAGGTACTAGCCTCGTCTGTCAATACACCTATAGTATAATCAAGGTTGCTAACTCCGTCCCCCTAGTAAAATTACCCAGTTCCAGAAAACATGCGATTTTGTCATAACCGTTCATAGTATGACGCCGGGAGCAGTATAGATCGACAGGAATTTTTTTCTTTAATTTGATGTATGATTTGCCATATATCATGCAGTATAATTCGATAGACTTCATGAAACATCGAACAATGGTCGAAATTCAGTTGGTCTTTCGCTCTGTTGTCCACGGGATGACACGCTAAATCCCTAGTGGGTAGAGCAAAGCACACGGCATGTCCGCTATTCAATGTCGGTACCGTGTTTCTATGATAGGAAACAAAGTTACTCGTATGATAGTTCATGACCTACCATTATCATGTCGGACACCCGAGTCCTAGGCACTGATTGGCTTCTAAATTTAACGGCCCAATCAACGCAGTAGTCTAGAACATCTCTATGTATGTATGTATGTATGTATGTATGTATGTATGTGTGTGTCAAGATAAATATGTCTGTATTGGATAAATATGCATAAGGTGTGTGTGCGCGTTCAAAACCTTATATTTAATATGTGTGTGCGCATCAAGAACTTTTATATGTGTATTTTATATACGGTATATGTAGCGGCCGTACCGCATTAGTGGTGTGCTACCTTCGGAAAGGGAGTCAGGAGTTGCCTCCCTTTTACAGAACATTCAGTGGGATTCAGCTTGGGGCGAAGAAGACGGTGAACATGTCGAACTCTCGATTTCCAAGGAAGCTGGAACAGTCAGAAGTGGGCTAAGTATAGCCATTTCGTTGAACACGTCCAAGGAACTGTGCGTTATGTGTGATACGTGTACCCGTTATTGACTGTATGTGTTTTACGTATACAATACGCGACGCGTTTGACCCCCCGTGGGTCGTTGTGAAATTTGTAGGCGAAGTTGTAATTTGCGCCACACACGTACGTATATATGTATGTATGTATTTATGTATGTATGCATGCATGCATGCATGTATGTATGTATGTATGTATGTATGTATTGTATGTATGTATGTATGTATGTTTATTACAGATGCGTTTATGAGGTCAGGTATCCTTACAATCAAATACATGCCGCAGGGTAGTATCATATTTACAACCTTATATTTACACGCAGGGTTTGTAAATAACATTTTAATGCCACGTTTAAATTTGGGCATGCATTGCTGTCTATTGAACATGAAGAACGATAGTATATTATCTATACCTATTATAAATTGTTCCTAATAACATTATTGCACTCTTAATTTTCGGTGTCTTATTGTCATATGCGCTAGTTAATAAAATGTATCATAATAATTCATTACAGAAAATGTATAATTTAATGATCGGTAGCTTCACACTTAATTCGTAATATTAAAAATCTGTACCATCCGATCAAATGCGTAAATTGGAAGGATACCGGCTGATCCTTGTCACTGACCCCTGAGTTCGTGAAAAAACACGCGATGTTATGTAGGATGGTTCTACTCTCAACAGGTAACGTCACGTCTATCGAGTAATCAGCATACGGTATGGGGTCAGTGAGGCGGGTCACTCGATATTTATATAACTGTTTTTTCTTACATTTCATTTTTGTATCACAGTCATTTTTTATATGGATCATAAAGGTAAATATAAATAATGTTTATGTTTATCATCTATTTTTATATTGTTTTTTGTTCTCATTTGTCAATGTGTTTACTTCGCCAAGGCAAATTGTGTTTTCAGAATATAAACAGTTATACATGATGTCAATCTTGTTTACAAAACTTAAATATTGTTATATCCCGTGTATCTTCCTTAAAACCTATCTGTGTCATTCTCTGCTCCTACTCTACCAGGATGTATTTTCTACATATTCGTTTCCTTTTTGACAATGGATAAAACAACAAACTATCTTGGTGCTGTAACGGCAGGGAATGACTCACTACTTTATAAATGTTTATGTATCGTTAGTGTCTCTCTGAATCTATTCTCTCTGAATTTGCACTACTTTTTTATTTTATTATTAATATTATCCATATGCGGTGATATTCACCCGAACCCCGGTCCACCCAACTCCCACATCCACCTAGATTTTATTTCTATTTGTCATATCAATATTTTTTCGTTAAGGAACAAAACTCATATTCTTGATGCTGAATTTTCCGAATACGATATACTGTGCGTCTCTGTAACTCATCTTGATAATTCAATTCCTGATAGTGCTGTATCTTTGGAAAACTTTGGTAATATTTTTAGAAAGGATAGAGATAATTATGGTGGCGGAGTTCTGATTAATACTAAACATAATATTAATGTTAAACGTAGACCTGACCTTGAGACAGGTGATCCTGAATTATCGTGGACTGAAGTAACTACCCATAATAAACCTGTTCTTCTTGGCTGTATATATAGACCCCCTAACTCTCTCGTTGGCTACTGGGACAGGCTAGATATTAACCTAAATAATAGTATTGATCTGCAAAGGGAAGTGGTCCTGGTAAGTGATATAAATCAAGACATGTTACATCTAAATCCAAACTCACATCTAAATAGAATTTTGTTGAAATATGGGTTAGAAAACACTGTTACTGAACCCACCAGGATTTCTTCCCAGACCTCAACATCACTTGACACTATACTAACAAACAACGTTAACTTTATTAAAAATACAATAGTACATCCTCCCTCTTGTAGTGATCACTGTCCAGTTAGCGCTGATCTGAAATTTAAAACTTTAAAGAAACATGCATATAAAAAGACTTTATTATACTTCAATAACACTGACTTTGACGGGGCAAATGAGTATCTTAAGTCCATTGACTGGAATCTTTTATTACAAGGTGATATTGAAAATATGAACTCTCTTTTAACTGATAAAATCCTAACTGCTATCGACCTATTCGTGCCCCATAAAACAGTAACAATAAGACCTAATGATAAAATTTGGATGACTAATGGTATCAGACTCAAAATTAGACAAAGAAATCGCCAGCATTCCAAAGCTAAGCTACATAATACTCCATCTTCCTGGGCAAAATTTAGATCTATTCGGAATGAAGTTATATCCTTAGTCCGGGAAGCTAAAGAAAAATATTTATCTAAACTTCAATCTTCTTTAATTGATAAAACCATACCCCCCGGAAAATGGTGGCGTATTGCAAAATCGGTTATGAATCTCAAAAACAAAAACGAAAATGACTCTCCATTGATTATCAACGGCGAACTGAAAATCCACCCCATAGATAAGGCGGAATCTTTTAACGATTATTTCACTTCGATTTCCGTAACTGAAAAGAATGCTGACGATTTACCTCCTGATTGCCCCCGACCCCGACATAGCTTCTCAACAATAGACATAACCGAACAGGACATTCTTGATCAGCTCGATCTACTCAATACTAATAAACCTTCAGGCCCTGATAGTATCCCTCCAAAATTCATAAAAGGGGTTTCCCAATCTCTTGTGAAACCACTCTATCTCTTATTCAACAAATCTATTTCTACCGGAAAGCTACCAAATAGATGGAAAAATGCTCATGTTACCCCAATTTATAAGGGCAAGGGAGATAAAAGTGATCCATCCAACTATAGACCAATATCTGTTACCCCTATATTTAGCAAGCTATTTGAAAAAATTGTTTTTAAGTATATGTTCAATTACCTCTCAAGATATAACATTATTTCTAAGAATCAGTCAGGCTTTTTACCTAAGGATTCCACAGTGTATCAGCTATTAATTATATACGATGAAATTGTAAAACATTTAGACAAAGGCAAAGAGGCCAGAATGATTTTCTGTGATATTAGCAAAGCCTTTGACAGAGTTTGGCATGACGGTCTAATTTATAAACTAAAAAAATATGGTATATGTAATAATATGTTAGAATGGTTTACATCATACCTTCATGATAGGCAACAGAGAGTGGTCATAGATGGGTATAAGTCTAACTGGAAAACATTACAGGCAGGGGTACCCCAAGGTTCAGTCCTTGGTCCTTTTTTGTTTTTACTATATATTAATGATATTGGTGATGAATTGGCCTCAAACTTCAAACTATTTGCTGATGATACCTCCTTATATGGTCTCATTGAGGGAGACAGGCAAGAATGTGCTAATATATTAAATGATGATCTGAGGAAAATTTCAATCTGGGCTAGAACATGGGGAATTATCTTTAATCCAGATAAAACTGTAGCCCTGCTCTTCTCGAGGCGGGTTGACTCTGAGACACTGCATCCTAACCTATATTTTGATGAATCATCAATTATTAATGTTTCTAATCATAAACACCTAGGTTTGTTTTTCAACAGCAAGGCTAATTGGTCTAACCACATAAACTATATATACGAAAAAGCTTATAAAAGAATTAATATACTTAGAATGTTGAAATACAAAATTGATAGAAAATCACTCGAAACTATATATATCACATTTATACGTCCAATTCTGGAATATGCAAATATTATATGGGCAAACTGCACGCAGAATGAATGCAGTGTCTTGGAGTCTATCCAACTAGAAGCAGCACGTATTATCTTAGGGTTAAGACGTGGAACAAGTCATGCTATCTTATATAGAGAATCTGGTTTTATAACACTTAATAGAAGAAGACATTTGCATCAAAATATTACTTTTTATAAAATATATAATAGGAAATGTCCCTCTCATGTCTATGATATAATTCAACCGTACATTAATGATAATACTGACAATTATCATCTTCGCCACAATAGAATTTTTGATGTTCCTATACCAAGAACTCAGTTATATAATGCCAGTTTTTTCCCGAAACTGATGTCTGAATGGAATAATCCAACTTGCCTGTAT